GCCATTAGTCCAAGCCATCCATAGCGCTTTGCCATTAGTCCAAGCCAACACAGATTAGAGGCTGTGACAGCTCTTGCCTCACCCAGATAGGTTACATAAGCAGTGGGGAAGCCCGCTGCTTTGTAACCTAACTACCTATCAAAAGCAGGATGCAGCGCTGCCTGTAATCAACAGGCAGCGCTCCATCCATGACAGGTTACACAGTGGGGAGGATTTCCCGGCTGTGTAACCTGTAACAAGCCGCACCTGCCTCCCCTGTCTGAACATCCCTGGATCAAAGGGTACATGTACATGAAAAGTCCCCGGGTAGCTAGAAAGGAATGTGAAATTTTGAACAATGGCTTGGTCATCCAGCAAAGCTATGGCAATGGCAGTGCACATGGCAACATTTACAGGTACAAATGGTATGTTAACATTGCAAGAGGTGGTGGCAAAGGATTTTTGCTTAGCACTGCTTCACAGTATAGCATTTCATGCTATAGTCGTATAACCAAATTGTTTAGAGCCAAGTACTTATTGCCACATTTTCCTGGTAGCAGCACATTTCCTGCTTGATACTTTATTGACAATTACCCCATTATAATCAACTGATTTATTCTAAGACATGCTTTGTTGCTGAACAATTTTAATTTTTCCTTTTTAAACATACAAGGCTTTATTCTTGCTGTAGGTATCAAATGAAGCATTTCTAATAAGAAGGATAAAAGAATATCTACCCTACTATACAAAACTTTGACAAATCCAGTTCCAGCATGAATAAGCCCAACAATGATTATAGAGGTGATTTCATGAATCATTAATTAGTTATTGTCAGGGCCTGGCAGTCAGAGTGTTGTGCACGGATGTCTTGCCTACTGTTTTTTAAGTAGTGATATTTATTTTTGATGAAGTGATATCCAGACATATATACAAGTTCATTTATTTTCATTTTGGATAGAATGTGGAAGGACTTCAGATTTTAAATGATGCCTTAGATGGATTGTTTTTCTTCACCTATTATTAACATCTATAAACGCAACAGGAAGCAAGGGGAATTCCTCCCAATAGAGAGTAAGGAAGCAATAAACATCGTACAGAGGCTCTAAACCTTTCTCAGCCTGCAAAGAACAGTACCGTATGTTACTATTGTTCCTGTTGGAAGGATCTCTTCTCATTACCTATTCTGTTTGACAACTAAATTAGGATTCATAGTATCTATATTAGGAAAATCTTCCCAATATAGATACAGACAGTATTTAACACTTCAACATTCTTCCAGAAGAAAGGTTTTCACTATTGTCCCTATGTCCCCCTTACATTCTCTTCGGTCTGTCGGATATACACAAGTGATAAATTTATATTTTGGGCTTTCCCTGACAGATCTAAGGATCCTTTTTTTTCAACAAAAAAAAATGCTAGGTATCTGTATGCATCATAATTGTTCATGTTTTGCAATGCATGCCAACAACTAGCTTAAATGGTGACAGTTCATTCCAATAAATACAACTAACCAAATAGACAATTACAAAGTAGGTCTCATGGATAACATTATCTTAAAGAACACCTACCAGACAATTTTATTCCCCAAGTGCAGACTAAGAAGCAGAAGTTAGGATGTGGTGGCACAGGCCAACGGTTTTCTCTTGAGACTCAATAATCACTGTCAGACTTATTTTCACCCCTTACTGCCATCATACAAGTGCTAGTAACGATAATTATGTTATCCTACCATTTTGCACCCAGACTGAATGATACACATATTTAAAATGTAATGCAAGTTTTGGGCTTACACCATGCCAATCATGTGATGACATTTCTAATGTATAATATGAGAAATAAGAGTTTAATTATGAAATAAACATATCTTGATGGCCTCTGTCTGACATTTCGTTTGAATCAATTTTGGAAAAAATAGTGGCTTAAAGGGGTTCTACCCAAACTGGCCCTAAAGTTACTTTTTAAGTCATTACAACTTATATGGCACTAAAATTTGTATATCATGTTGTAAATTCAACCTATAGATGTCACATTTATTAAATGGTTCTGGCAATTAAACCAATCTAGCTTTATTTATTAATATAGTACAAATAGCTTATAGGTATCGATGATAATTTTGCATTTCTGTCAGCTATTGCATATTGCCTTTTGCAGCTGATTAGGAGCTAATAGTTTCCTTTATATATCCCTTTCCATAGTAAAATAAAACATAAAACAAACTATTATATAAAATTAAATACAATAAAAATAATGTATTTCCTTTGATATATGTTATCATAATATGCTATGCAGGATCTAACAGTGAAGACCAGTGCACAAAGACTGCTGTCAACTATAGTGAGCTATGTCATAGCCCAGATCTAGCAAAGAAAACACATTTTCTTCTAGAAGCACACACCATTGAATAACACTGTCATATATCTGCAGTAGGTATGTCATATATGCAATAGATATTATTTTCTATTTATATTTTTGAACATTTAAGGTCCTGAAAGTGTAATGGTAATATAGTATGTTTAAGTGTTTCACAGACAATGGGGTTGATTAACTGAAGGTGTAGAGGCTGTTCACTTAGCAAAGTGAAGGTTAGTAAATACACTGAACTTGGCTTCACTTTAAATACTAACTCATATGCTGGAACAAAATCCTGCATTTTGTATTTCTCATACACATGGATTGGTAGTTCAAGTGAACTCTGGTTCAGTAATATGTATAATGCATGGTCCCGTAGTTGTGTATACGGACCTAGGTGTGTGAAAAAACCTAATAAAAACTTTGAAATAGAACTCTGGTTCACCTTATTTACTTATGCTCACTCTTCAAATACATTTTTTTAAACATTTTGCAAAGTGAACAGCCACCGCTCCTCGAGTAGATTAATACCGATGTCTCAGTCAAGTAAATGCTGACTTTGCTCTGCATCTACTGAATAAAAAATTAAATAAAATAAAAAGCTATGAAATACAATTTGTAGAGAAAATATAGAATAAAGAGAAAATAAAATACATCTACCACTGAACTATTTTTTTTGCTTTGTGACTATGTATACCATATTCTTTTACCTCTAAATTACAAAATAGAAAAATAAGCACATCTCATAGTTACTTACTTAGCCCTTTTTAATATACTTCCCTCTGTCAAGCACTGCACTGTCAATGGACATTAAAGGAGACACATTTTGTATTGGAGGGAAACAACTGCTGGATATTGTGACCACCAACCTTATATCAGAGGAATTAAACTTCATTGAAATATGGTTACCAGATACAGATTACTGTATGCAATGTTTTTAAATGTACAGTAAATCTATATATACATAAACAGCAAACCCCAAATACCTCACACAGCTAAGTAAACCAGGATACCTGCTGTCTATGTCTGTGTGAGCTACTGACCCTATTGACAAAGCATTTTTGCTTTTTAGTTTTAAACAGAGTGGTTAAGGGATGCTGACCTGTCCTTGTTCAGGAGGATTTTTCATACATGGTATCAATGATAGAGATCAACAAGTGAAGGAAAATCTCTCCCCTATGGCAATAATCAATTTATATAACAGTGTGGAAAGAGGTTAGCTCCTCTGTCAAGTTTTACTGTTGTCTGTGTTCACAGAGTCTGCAGACAGTAGTAAAAACTTGATTTGTCCCCAACTCTATCAATAAAAATGGATTGGCTAGTTACACTTCAATTGTACATTCTGTTCTTTTTTTTACAGACAATGCCAACAAAAAAGTTGAATTTCAAGTATTTGAATGTCTCTCATAGTTGTCATGAACCTTCCAGCAGATGGATGAGATGAAAGTAAGGGGCCCAGACTTGCTGCATAGTCTCACTCCGGCTTAGTCACTTACCCTACCATGACCAGGCCTTCTCTTTCATCTATATCCATATAATGTTTCTACAGTTTGAAACTGTTCTAGCATTTTAATCTTCTCCATAATTACAGCCCTATACTTTTACAGACTTCTACAGCCTTATTAGCTTCTGTATAAATACATCCTTTCAATAAGCACATTGATATACCCGGAACGTGACTAAAAGGGGATAAGGATGATAAAGAAGCAATGGTATTGGATTGGCACCCTACACCATGCTGCTGGAGGTCCTTGACTAAACCCTGACATCTCAGACATAGTACTCACCTCGCTTATTTACATTACCAACCTTAGAAATTCATAGTAATGATCCCCTAAAAAGTAAACCTGTCAGTAAAATAAAGATTTTGAACAGGCTCCAGAACTACAACAGTAACTGGTGAATGCACATACATTTACATGAAGTCTTCAGTACCTTGGGTGCCCCAAATTAGGGGTGCTAAAAATATCTAGTTTAGGCATTTATGATAGTGATGAGTACTGGCATTCTATGATTGAAGGCAGATCAAGAAGGGGTTGGCTACTCCTCAGCATTATCAGGAAGTTTCATACCATTCTTGTTACAGCATTCTGGGACTTAGGGCACTACGGTGCTAAAGACTGCATGTAGGGATGTGCACAGACACCACTTGGTATCTGCATTGTATACTTTTACCATACCAACAGGTACAGGAGAGTCTTACAGTTAATTGCAAAATACTGAAATTTTACACATTGTTGTCTCAATTTTTACCTAGTCTATTCTCTAACTCCATGGGGAAAATAGGGAAAGCAGGATTTCAATGTAACATATCATATTAAAATAAAAATATAAAGTAACCCACCAAAATTAGCATTAATTAAATAATCCAGTTGATACCTCGATTAATGAAAAAATACAACATATACAGTACCAATACCCACGTTGAGAATAAAGCAAATTATCAGAAAAAAATTAATGTCCAGTAGTAAGAATATTGCAAGGCTCAGCACCAGATACAATTATTTTGCCTTATTGGAGCTAGAGCCATTGCAGTTTATAATAGATGAAACCATCTGTGTTGCAGTATAAAATATGGCCATAAAAAATTTCCTTTTTTAATGAGTCCATCCTGCAGTGCACAATTCAGAATGAAATCACATGCGGAGAGTCTGCTACTTTCCACCTCGATTTTTCTTTGGCTGCTCATTTGCTCCCAGAATGCACTGCTGCAACTGAGGCAGGTCTCGGTCTTCGATCTCCACCTACTGCAGTATTGGCTGTAGAAGAGGGAGTAACTCCAGTCAGGAAGCTATATGGGCTTGATGGAGACTTACCTGGAAAAAAAAATAGTAATAGTAAAAACAAAGTGAAATGTTGTGTTCAGGGGTAAACATCGTCACATAGACTTCTGGAGCCAGGCAGTAGAGTCAAGGAGCCAGCAGGCAATTTATAGAGCCAGGGAGCATATGCTTTTATTTACTAAGGCTCATGATATTTGTCCAGCCCTGGTGTAGATAATGTGTGAGAAAGAACTTTTATTAGCAAATATAACTCCCGAAGTGTGGAGGTCTACATTCAAGAATTTAAACAAAATGAAAAAGTGGAAGCAACGTTGGAATACTTTTATACATAAGCTGGACCTTCAATCTATTTTTCTTAATTCTTGTGATAAAAGATTAGTGAATCCAGGTTTTGGCATTTTGATAAACATTTTATGCTTTTGTTAGATCTTAGTTGGCTTAAATATTTCCTCCTTTAGCAAAAAAACAAAAAACAAAAAAAATAATACTCATACTAGGCTATACAAGTTCCTGTGCAAAAGAGCAGGGTTGCTTAAATGTTGACAACTGTACTGACTACCTGGAGAGTGTGCTGGGGAATTTATGTATTGTTCTGTGCATTGCCCTGCCCATGTGCACCCTTTCTGGTGCTAGTTATAAACTGATCTGAGCACTTGGCATATTTGCTTTGCTAAGGGTAGAAGTGTATGTGCTTTTATACTTGCTACTCAATAATAATAATAATAATAATAATAATATTTATTATTATTATTACTATTATGTTGCACTTTAATACAGTTTTTTTGTTACATTTAAAAAGGTATTAATGTTTCAAATTACATCTAAAGCATATAAAATAAACTTATATTTGTTAAAATATATGTAACTGAATGAATTGTTAATTTTAGAGACTACCTGGACTTCATCTTTAGTGTTGTTATATTATTTATGTAGCCTGTGTGTAACCTATACACCATTTTGACCTTTTAAAGGGGAACTATGAGGTGAGTGCTTTTCACTGACCTCATAGTTCTAGCCGACCTGTGACAATGAGACTGTCACAGGTCGGCTCAGTAGATCGGGACGTGAGCGAACACATACCGGCGTTCGCTCACCTCTCGATCCTGTCACGGCTTTCTGCCGTGACAGGGGAGGGGCTGGATTCCCCCCTCCCCGCTCCGATCTGCCAGCGCTGACTGGCGGAACGGACGGGGGAGGGGGCGGGTACAGCTGGCTCTGCCTTTAGATAGGCAGAGCCAGCTGTCAGTCACACAGCTGGGCGGATCCCGGCACAATTGTCGGGATCCGCTTCAGCTGCGGCGTCTCAGTATACCGTGAGCTACAGCTCGCTGTATACTGAGCCTAGGGTGACGGGAGGACGCTAGTTTGTGTCCTCCTGTTACCCTAAGGAGAACTATGGGGAAAAATAACCCCATAGTTCTCCTTTAACTTTTTAGTAGGCAACTTTGCCTTACAATGACATTGCTGACTGATACCATATATAAAAAAACTTACAAGTCTGTTTTGTTCAAAAAACAATAATTGTATGTTTGGACGAGGTAGCATTGAACTACCGACTAGAACCTTTTAAAGTTCATTGACTAGACTAATGTCTGTAATTAATGTTATAGAGAATTATAGTGGATAACGTTGACCTGTTTTGGTTTGGATGCCTGCTCCACTAAAAATCTAAATAATACAGCAACCATCTCAGCGATGGCTGGACAAACAAGTGTGTTTAATATTTTCCTATGAAGTGAACAGCATTGGAAACATTTCTGGTTTCCTGTTGGCTAAAGATTTGTTAGAATACATAAAGAATGCCAGAAGTTTCTGTGTTGTGTCACTAATCTTCCTTTTTGTTTAATGAGATTTCAGGGCCGTTTTAAAGCCATAACCTTTAGAAAAATATACAGAAATAAGGTTTTAGAAAGTCCTCATCTGTTTCACACAATACATAGAGGTCTATTCACAAAGCTGCCGAAGGATCCAGCCGTAGCTTCGGCTGTTCCTTTGGGTAGCTTCAGTTGCGGGAGCCCTTCGGTTTAGTCGAACCGAAGGGCAGCTGTATGGGCTATTCACAAAAGCCTGTACAGCACCCGAAGGCGGCCGAGTGGCTCAGCCGAGCGGCTCGTCCAAGCCAGGGCATATGCTTCGGCTCCACTGAGTCGAAGTGACACCCGAAGTGGGGCAAAAGGGCGGCCGAAGGCCGGCCATACCTCTCGTTGGCCAGCACCTGCTAGAAGAGTCTAGCAGGTGCCGGCCAATAGGAAACAGTTGGGCAGACCTAGCTCCACCCAATTGTTTTTTTTTTAAATCTTCATTTTTTTAATTCACTATTTACATTTTTTAAAATATTTTTAAAACTTTTTAAAACTATTTTCATTGATTTGCTATTCTGCTCGGTACCACAGAGGTACCGAGCAGAATAGCTGAGCCGAATGCAACTCGGCGGTATTCGGCTATTGACTCACTGCCTTTGACCCCTATGTGAATGTATCATACTACATATGGAGTAGCAAAGATGGATGTGTACTAAAAAGAATAAAATACAGAAAATATAACATATAGCAAATGACTTGTTTTAGAAATGGTTTATACTGTGTTGTTACCATGGCAGATTGTAGCTATGAATATAGCATAATGAGATCAGTGTTTGCTGTTTTCAAAGATTAAAGTTTATACAGTAATAATTACAGCACTATTACCCATCCTGTTGTGCCTGTAGTTGTCCCTAATCAGGAAGATGTCTCATGAAAGTTATGAGTGGTAATATACACTGCCTGGCCAAAAAAAGTCACCACCTGGATTTCGGGCAGTGTTATGATCTGGGGTTGCTTCAGTTGGTCAGGTCTAGGTTCAGCAACATTATGTCCCCAAAAAAACGAGGTCAGCTGCCTACCGGAATATACTGAATGACCAGGTTTTTCCATCACTGCATTTTTTCTTCTCTGATGGCACGGGCATATTCCAAGATGACAATGCCAGGATTCATCGGGCTCAAATTGTGAAAGAGTGGTTCAGGAAGCATGAACATGAATGGCCACCACAGAGTCCAGACCTTAACCCCATTGAGAATCCTTAGTGTTAGGGTTTTCCGGTTGGAGCGAGGGCAACTGTTTAGATTTTGAGCATGTTTTTGTATAGTTATTGAAGTCCATGTTCAAAGGGACAGGGGCATCTCTGAAAGTTTTAACCATATGATTCTCAAGGCTAGGAAGTCTGCTGCAAGGGCTATCATTAGATGTGGAAGGCATATTTTCTTTGTTGTCCATGGGCTTTCACCCCAGGAGTTTCTCTGTGGGATGCATCTTTTCTGTCCTACAGTTGGGTTTGGACCCATCAAGTACCACGAAGGGTCACATGTTTCTTTTTGCTATTTTTCCAGAGACCATTGGCTTCCCACTCTCTGATTAAGATTTTTGTGCAAGGGGTCTCCCACGTGGCCTGGTCAAATCCCCTTTACCTCCAAGGGGTATGAATATGGTCCTTCTGGTTCTTCAGAACCACCCGTCCCAATCTAACAGAAACATTCCTCTCTTTGCTCTAACTAACAAGTAGTTTTATGCTTTTATTACCTCATCTAGATGAATGTCTGAACTAGCAGCTTTATCCTGCAAGAAGGCCTTCCTTCCAAGTTTTACCAGCTGGGTATTTCAGACAAAATATTTAATTTTCTGCATAGGGGTGGTACTCTTACATGGCTGGTACTAACTTTTTCAGATTCAAGACCATTAAAAATATGAGAATACTGAATACTAGAAGTATATACAGTGGCCAACATGGCAACCAGGTGCAAAAAGTACAGTATAGAAAATTGTTTTAATGTTTGATGACAGTGTACCTTCTAATGCTTCTGGTTTGTAGAGAGAAAAAAAGAATACAAATGTAACATGTTGTAGTCATGTTAGCGAACAAAACATAAGAATAATATACTTACAGTCTTTGGGACTTGTGCCATCTGGAAGAGCACTTGCAGGGTTGAGACTGCTAGACATATTTGAACTGTCCTGGCTGCTACCAAGGTGCAATTTCCTCATGTGCCTCACTACTGCAGTAGCATTGAATGCTTGCTAGAAGATGACAAAATCAGTGGAACGATTGAGTCAACAAATAATACCAAGACCTATCCAAATGTCATCTCATATCAGCAATGTGTCCCGTACTAGCACATATTTAGCTTTTCCCTCCAAACTCTACCTAATGTTTTATAATGTACAGTATATGTGCCCTTTGTTTATTAAAGCTATTCAAACTTTCCTTATAGATGAATTAGCCTGTGATCCTGCCTGTCACTCATACTTCCTTGTTCTCATAGAGACACCACATGCTCCACTTCCACAACAGCTGGAGTGCCAAGGTTGCCTACCCCTGTACTAGTTGAATGCGTGAGGTATCAGTACTATGAGTTATTGGCGTAGAACAAGCATGCAATACGTAAACTCGAAATAAAGTCAACACTGCTGATACTTATTCTAGGTCTCTGACTCAGAACTATTAGGCCTCATTCACAGAGGCATGTTGTTTCATACATAAGGGCTGGTTGTTGATACTCCTGGAGCTTCAGGAAAAAGCGTGCGGGCAGCTTATGTAATTCTATGGAGACACAGGAGCTGTACATCCTTCCCACAGCACCGAGTTTTGATAGTGTACACAGATGACAGGTGTACAGACTCGGACGAGCACATGATGCATCCAGATTCATACAGTGTCTGTGTGTGGCTGTCAAAACTCTGGCCCTTCACACTGTATGGAGCAACACGCCCAGTGTGGATGAGGCCCAAAAGCTGGAGAATTAGCATGAAAGCCTGGCACCAGAAGATGCCAGGCTAGGTCAGCAATGGCACCCCATGTATTCTCTCAGCAGAGATTTCCTGTAATATTGTTTACAAGCTGTCACAATTTACTTTGCTCAGGCTGGTACAAATTTGGATAAGCCTACCCATCCATAAATGTTTTAACACAGTTAAACTGCATTATTTTAAATCCTTCAGTGGATAGGGCCTTTTATTGACTTTACATATGTGCATGTGACAGTATAAATATGACAGAAATTTTTTTTTCAGATGACTTACCCTCCATTTGCTTTTTGCAAAGTTTTTCCGGATCTGTGCACTGACAGATTCATGAATATTTTTACATAGCGCCGTATCACCAGCAATCCTGGAAAATATTAACACAAGTTAAAATGTTTTCCAGTCACAGTCAGATGAGATTCATCTCTTAAGTTACTGACATATAGAAATGACATTGCTGCTGCGGCTGATGAAATGCATACAAAGCAATGACACACTGAACCCGTACATCTGGCAGTAATTATAGGGATGAGCTGGCAACCCGGACCACAATGTACAATGCAGATGAACTGTAGGAGACTGTTTAAATGTCACTTTCTTTATGTTTTGGATAATTGGGAAGGGTTGGAATCGCTGTCAGGATTATTGTTGTCTGTGACAGTGTAGCAACTGGGATACAAAGTGTGTAGAGTTCTCTAAATAGGGAAACAGCAATATAAAAAGCTGATGGAGGTTTCACTATCTAATAAGACTCTAATAAGCCAAGGTACATACACAAGGATTTTTATTAGTTACAATAGAACTGAAGCTATTTTTTTAAGTTTTGGATAGAGTAAAGGAGGGTTATAACTTCTGTCAGCTTTTTTGCCCTCTGTGTCCCATTGGGGAGATTACCCTTCACTTCCTGTCTGAGAGCCATAACAGGAAACAAGAAAAAATCTCTCCCAAGTGAGGGGAATCCCTGGGGGTCAGCATGGTCACCAGAGCTAGTGTTTCTATTACTTTTCCTAATACTAATACTATTCCTGTTCTGTGATAGTTTAGTGGTTAGGTTGAGGCAAAATAGGCTTCCCTGAAGAGATGAGTCTTCAGGGATCGCTTAAAGGCAGTCAGAGTAGGAGATAGATAGACGTTGGAAGTTGGGGTAGGGAGTTCCAAAGGATGGTAGAGACTCTAGAGAAGTCCTGGACTTGCTGCAAGAGCTGCACAGGTAGCCAGGAGTTACATGATTGTGTCATCTTTCAGCCAGCAACTCAGTTCAGTTGACCTTGTATGACGACTGAACAAAGATGGCTACATGCTACAAAGTTACAAGGCTGCAGTCTGAGTGAGACCAACGACATAATCTCTGCCTTGGCAAAGTCACCTCACTGGAGTTCAGGGACAGCTTTTTAATGATGAAAGGTAGAGCTTTTTTGAAACACATACAGTTGAGTTGCAGACTTGTGAATTTTCTGAAAGGTCCACTTTAAGGAATTACCCTTAAAAGAGACCCTGTCACCAACTTAAAAAAGTTGCAGGTAAAAGCACAGACAAAATCTAGTATTTGAAATGCTTACTTGCAGTGCCTTTCCTTTCTCTTAACAATTTTTTATTCACTTAAATATGTCTTTGCACCTGAAAGCTATTTTGGCTTCTTTCCTAGTACAAACCAACCCCCTCCCTCCTTGTATTTCATAGCCCTCTCCTCTTCTGGAATATCTAGTTACTGTCTGTGCTGGGCCAGCTAATCTGCCCCTTCCTCTTTTATGGAGGAACAAAGGGGAAAACTATGGAGTGTCACTTGAGCTTAGGAGCTTTGAGTCTGCTGTGGCTGCTGAAATCACATCCAAGATGGCGGCATCCAGCAGCAGTCTAAGGGGTTTTAGATGTCTGTGCAAAGTGGGCTTTTACGGGCCGACAAGAAAATGCAGGATGTCAGCAGCGCACCATAATAATGTGTCCAGATAAATATTCTTATTGACATATATATATTGTGTCACAAGAATGGTGATGTTTTGGGGGCACACAGGGTCGCTTCATCAGGCTTAATATGGTGTCATATTGAGCCTGATGAAGTGATCCTGTGTGACTCCAAACAACGTCATCATTGTGACATAATGTATATACGTCAACAAAGATGTTTTTCTGGACACATTACTTTGGTATGCTGGTGACATACTGCATTTTCTTGGATTCAATTGGCACCATCCGCATCCACTTCAGTAGGCATAGCCAAGGGGTATACTGGTCAGGAGTGCGCTGGGATAGTCACTGGACTTTTACAGGTAAACAACGTGCATAAAATACAGTATGTTAAATGCACATACAATCTTATCGGAAAACAAACCATTAACTAAATTATGTTCCATTTATCCAGTCTATTATGAAAGCGGTGCCGTGACATGATACTCACATGAAATACTGCTTTTATGCTATTATGGTTTTACAATTATGGTTTTCTGATTTACAAAACTGAGAGTGAGAGATGCACAGACCGCATTTGTTCTTTCAGCAGACATGGCTGCATTAATGAAGTGTATGTCACACAAGCTACATTACATTCTTTAGCACATGTCAGAACAGTGGCTTAGTGGTTAGCACTTCTGCCTTTCAGGATGGGAGGGCCCCTAGATTAAATCCTGGTTAGGACACTATCTGTATGGAGTTTGCATGTTCTCCCTGTGCTTGTGTGGGTGTTCTCTGGTTTCCTCCCACACTCCAAAGACATGCTGGTAGGTTAATTTGCTCCTGTTTAAATCAAACCTAGCATACATGTGAGATAAGTTATCTTAGATTGTGAGCTCCTTGAGCGCAGGGACTAATGTGTAGAATGTAAAGCACTGTGTAAATTGTTGGTGCTCTATAAATACCTATTATAATATCAGAAAACATGAATGATCCTGAGGTGGAGCAATTCTTGTCTACTTCTGCATGACTGGAACTCCTGTGCCTTTAAAAGCTGTACTTATGATTATACAAACTAATACGGTATAAGAACTGGTCCAGCTGACATTTGTTAGATCAGTAGATTAAAATAGTCTCCAGAACTGGTATACTACTTCTAGACATCAATGCAGTTTGAATATAAATTCACTGGTCCCCGGTGATTAACGCATTTAGTTTATTGTCTGATTTTATTGGATCTAAGCAAAATGAAAGACTTGCTGTGTATGCTGGCCAAAGTCAGATCAGTTCTATAGAGGCACCTGGGAATGATTACAGTAGCCGTAATAATCTTTACAATTCTTTGAAGTTATTTTCTGCATCTTGGATTGTTGTCTCAGAATAGTGTCTTCACCCCCATGTGTGACTCTGCTGCATTATATTTCTCCCAGATGTTCTCAGGTTATTCTAAGTAACATTAGGTAAGACCAAAAAGGTGAATTGGACCAGCCGTTCTCTAATATATTTCAGCCTCTAATCCCTCTCACATGGGGCCTATTAGAAGCAATCTGGTGAGTGCATTTCATGCACAGTTTTTTTTCATTCAAAGCTATTTTTTTCACAGATTTGAATAAAACTGAATAATATAATATTCCATTTGCAAGAGGTAGGAAAATTGGCAAAACACCATTAAAATACTGAAATATTCTTATATGATCCCATCAGTATTAAATATGTACATTGTAAAAAGCTGATACTGCTTATGCCTTGTTGTCAGTACACTAACAGGCCATGTATTAAGAATTTACCCTTATGTGTACTGAGTTACTTCCATATGGGATAGCAAAAATAAGCCCATTCATTAAGGAGAAGAAGAAGAGATGGTAAAAAGAACAATTGATATGTTTAAATTTGAGTGAATTTAATCTTTTTGATACAGTTAATAAAAGGAAAATATATATAAATTGATAAATACTGTGCAACTGCATTGAGGGAACTTTGAAAGATTAATTTCAAAAAAGGACAAGGAAAATATATAGGTGGCTGTGTGAAAGGTTTCTATAACAAACAACCGGGGTGGAAGATGGTCATGATATTTATCAGTAGGAGGTGGTTGCAAGTGCCCAGGGGGTAAAAGGAAGTCTGTAGGGAAAACTGTAATGACTGTCCTGAACACAAACCCATGGGGTATGCTGTGGTAGGCTTACCACACGTGTTACAATTCTGATTATACAATCTCGTTTAGGTCTAAAAACAACTATGTAGTGCTAGTATCTGCCCGACTAGACATAAAATGATACATAGATTCAGTAAATCTAAAATGAATTGTACATAGATTGTATGGTATGTGTATTGTGGCCCTTAAGGCTTGTTCACACCAGCAGCCACACAACCACATGGCTGATGGTACCCGGACAGTGCGGAGTTGCTTAAACAAGCCGCATTGCACTTTTTTATGTTTGTTAGAAGTTTACTGAAATATCACAAGTGACATTTCATTCAGTACTATGGGCTTATCATGGTGCAATGCGGTTGTACCACATCTCCCTGTGGTGCGCTTAAAAAAAGTACTGCACGCCATACTTTTTTTAAGCGGCACACCATCAGAATGTGGTGATGTGAACTAAGCAAATTGTCTTGCCTTGTTTGGGCTGAGCTGGAAAAAAAGGCCGGCACAGACAGAACGCATATGGTGTGAATGGGCTCCTAAAGTAGTGAACATCTGTATGGGGTAGTCATCCATGGGGAGAGGCTAGACTATAGGAGCAGCAGGGTCAGTACTGATTTCCTGGTCTTATAGTTTTGGTTATGCATAGAAATCTAATCTAGTATCTAGAATACAGTTTATGCTGTATTCTATGCATTAATGTTATGGTACTAATTCTAAAGCAGATTTCTGTGGATCAGCATCCAGCCTTAGCAGCCTTACCAACCTTTGGTTTAATTGGTCAGTCTGTGCAGACTGATATTTCAGATTTAGGAATCTACCTATGGCCTGACCACCTCACTGGCGTATTGTAACATTTAAAAGCTCTATACTAGAGGTACTAGCTCTAATACCAACACAGCAGTTTATAAGCCAGGGAAATAGGACTCCCTACTCATCCTTTATAATGTAAATGATGTTTATAAGTGGGTTCAAATGGTGATTATAAATCATCCACTGGTAATATCCACAGCAGGTACATGGAGATGGGAAGTCCAAAGCAGAGACTGCACAGTCACAATTCCCACAAAATATTAAAAGCAGAAGATGATTTAAGCCGCCTCAATGTACCAAACCTGAAATGTCAGTTTTGGCAGCCCATAACCTTTAATATGGGTAGGGCTGTGCAATAGTTACAAATTAACAATAGTTGCTGTATTCTAATGCTGTTCATGAAAGAATACAACAACATTTCATTCAACTGCATGTATAGACACATTTTTTTATTATTATTATTTTCTGTGAAGTGGGGAATGGTTAGGAAAAAAAACCATCTCCGTTTTTCTTTTGATGTCTGTGTTCCATTGTTCCCTCAACTTCCTGTGCCCAAGACGCACAGGAAATAAAAGGAGATCTCTACAAAGTCAGGGGAATTCACTTTTAAGGCAGTTGTCACTGGGACAAGTTTCCACATTGAAAGTTTCTCCTTCACTCACTATTTAGGTGAGAACTGTACATTTTTGGATTTGCCGTCTCTTTCATTCTTGGCAATAAAGGTTACCAGGAGAAAAAGAGAGGGCGAATCCCCCAATGGGGAAACAGCATTAGAGCCTGACTACTGTATCCAAAAGTTTAAAAAAAAGGCTTGGTTTTACACACACTTTAGGGGTCTACAGTATTTATAAACAATTTGCAGAGCCATTGGCCTTGATAATCTCTGTGAATATTTGTTCTGTGCAAATGGATGCACAAAATGAATTTTAGTACATTAACATGCTTATTTGTGTCTGCCAGGACCTGTGTTATTTAAAAACCCCCACTTATCTCCTATTATCCTCAGCCCCATCTAGTCGCCATAATGCGGTATTAAAGATGACATTCAAAATACACAAGTAGTTTGTTTTGTACATCCATTCACACAGAACAGACATTCACAGAGATTTGCAGGGCCAATGGTTATTGTATATAAATAGACTCCCTAATTTTATTGTTGTCTGATCTGCTGTTTACAATAGTAGACACTACCTTAGAGACATACATATATAATATTTTCCTAGTTTTCATGATTTGTGCCAAGTTTTAAACCTACAATCACTTAGGGGTTATTCGTACAAACCCTCTGCATTTAAAGGGAAACTGTAACTTTTTGGGATCAATATTGCTTTAGTTGGTTTTGATTTATTTTATATCAGTTTATATAGAAGAGTACGTAATATCAATATACAATATTTCATATTTACCGTCTGAAGACAATTGAAGATATTTTTTATAGCTTCCCTTTAAATTGCAATGAACTGTTTTGCTTTCATGTCTGCAGTAGTTGTTACCATAGTACAGTGCATTATTTTGTATTCAGGAAGGCAGTAATAGATATTAGATCGTCATGACCCTAATTATAACTGCACGATTGGTCAATGATTAACATGTCTAGGGCACCCTGCAGCCTCGGAAGACATCTCTGTCCAATGGCTCTTGGATGGGTGGATTGTTGGGAATAGTTTATCCTGGTTGAATGCTATTGTTCCCCTGATATAACATCCTGGCACGTATAAATGAGCATGATTATATGCTGTTATGGTAAAGTATAGATTTTTGTAATGGATCAGGATCAGAACGTTTGTAGCATGATAGATTGGATTCTAGACTTTTGGCTACACAGGATTGTTGCCTAGGATTCCCCTGATGACATTTTTCAGCATAATTTCAGCATTATGACTTTTGCTGATCTTTGAATAGCACACATATGGAGCTTACTGCCCGCTAGTGGAAACAGGGAGGCTCTAAAAGCACACAGAACTCCATCCAGGTATACAATTATTGCATAACTGCAGCATTCATTAAATACATCAACTTGGCAGAGGGGTCAGCAAGGCATTGATCACAATTTTACTAAACTCCCTGCTAGGTTGTGGCACTGGATCTCATTTTATGTTCCTATGTTCCTGGCATGATCATAATGCCTTTATGTAATTAGTGCAAGCTCTTAGACTACATAAAAATGCGTGTGATAAACTATAAATAAGATATGCATTTACCATGGGTGTCGCAGTGCTTGTTCACAGGTATATCTCTTGTTGGGATCTTTTTCCATCAAATGGCTGATAAAATCTTTAGCTGTTAAAAGACAGAATACATTTAAATATGTACAGTGCACTACTCATTTTTATGATATAAGTCAGCTGCTCCATTTATTTGTATTCACTGTAGGGAATATGTGATTTCTCCCGTGTGGGCTTGTGTGCAGAATATCAATCGCTTATTTACAAAATGATATCTTAAGGTAAACTAAAGACCATGATAAATATCACATCAAGTAGTTCCTGGGCTGCTGATCAGGTAATCACGAGCCTTGTTATTGTTCAAAAGTAACAAATGTGTGGAGTTATTCATTTAGGACATGATTGTTTTTGACTGTTTCATTACAAGCGTTGTGTGTATTCAGTCTTATTGCAACACTCTCATCTGTTCATACACTGCAGGACCAAATCTACAGTGAGCATAAAGCCAAAAACAAAGGCATCCGACTATTGAGGCTCACCTGCTTTGCATGTGCGGATACTCTTAAAATTGCCACATCTACCAGACGTGAAAGATACGTTCAGATACGTACACCTGACAAATGAATAAAACTACAACAGTGCAAGCACCCATTCCAAAGTGCATAGCCAGGGCAAGGTCCTGCACGGTCTTCAGGGTTGGATTACCCATTAACCAAAATAAGAACATGCTTAGGGAATCAAAGGAAGGGGTACCCCTAGCTATCATGCATTTAAAGGATAAGTGCACTTTAAAACAAAGGGCACTTATCCTTTTTCCCCTTTGCCCTAAACTAAGGGATCCCACCTTCCCCCTCCACAGATGTATACTTACCTAGATCCGACTGTCATGGACTCCGTTGTTTCCACGCCGCAATGCTTCTCTCTCCTGGCCATGCAGGGACATTACAACCCCATAGGCTTCTATCGGCTAAGAGACAAAGGTAGATGAGCCACATAGATTTTTCAGCCCTTATTGTGTCTTAATGTTATGACCTCTCTGCAGACTAAACTGCAGTTGAGCAATACAATCAGGCCTAGGACCTGCCACAGCCTGGAATTGGATCTATAAGGAGCAGTAGAACATCATCACTCTGCTCTTTACTCCTATAATAACATAAAGAATTAAACATTTTACATATAATTACTACAAAAGCCATCTTGTAATGTAATGTAAAAAAAAATGACCTTCCTATATCAATGCAGCCTGCTACGATTTTTTAGCAGTTCAGAAAAATCAAAAGAAACCAGGGAAAATAGGTTGGTTTTCTATACTGCTTGCATACATAATGTTGGCTGAAATCTAATTTCCTGCTCATGTTACTGTCTTTCCCACAAGTCTACCAAGAGCTTAAAGTCAAACCACAGGCATCTCCTGCGACAAACAGTACACTTTTGATTAAATATTTTATGGTGAAGGCAGTGCATGCCCGCTGGTTTACTGATCCTTAAGGGTTACGTCTGGATGAGCACTGGCGTAGTGGCTGTCTGCCAACATTAAGGTCCTTGAGCAGAGCTGAGAACAATGTAGGTGTATGCATGGGGACAGCACTTGTTCTCTACTTGCTAAAACCACACAGCAAGGCTGCCTGTACACTTCAATAAAAACTGTTCAAGCAGAGCTCCACAAAACTGAGCTTGATGTTGGCTAGCCTCAGGCACACCCCAGTTGTCCATCGATACAAACCTTAAGTCTAATAGTGCATTTGACAGCTTTTTGTCTACTGAATAAATCTAAAACCTTACAAATAATGTCTCTGCACAGCTTTACAGAGTTATGAAAAGCAGAAGCTGTCAAACATATTGTGGTAGGAGTGACATTTAAGCGAGACAATGGTGTATTACTTATTTTAATGTCTCAAACTTTTCCTAAGTTTTACTATTTTAATAAGCTGCATCGGATATAGAACACAACACAAGGAATATACTATGAATCTTAAAGGTATGTGAATCATTCATGAGCAGCAGTGAAAAAAAAGGTCAGTCTGGTTTTCTAGCATTGTGGTCTGACGTAAGTCTTTCACAGCCTCCTACCTGTATAGTCAGGGCCATCTTTAATATTGATTGGACCCTGGGCAAAGATTTTCTCGCCCTAACCCGCGCCTCCCCCCCCGCGCCTCTAACAGCAACGCCATGCCCCCATCACGCCCCTGCCTCCAGCAACACCCCCCTCCTGCAAAGCAGATAGGAGGAGACATCAGAGGGAGACGTGACCCCACGTGAGACATCACGCGGTCACACTACTCAGCGTACAGCAGGGGCGGAGCAACACTATTCAATGCCAATCGCACAGTCAACAGAATGGTGCTGCGTGTGTATCTTTAGCAGGCTCAAGGGGCAGCTGCTTTGGGCCCCACAGCACTCACTGGGCCCGGGGCAACTGCCCCTTTTGCCCTGCGTTAAAGACGGCCCTGTGTATAGTATTGTAGCATGATTTTACTAAGTCTATCAAGATCTAGATTTACATATTTAACTAAACTATGGCTGTAGTCTTTCTCTGCAGTATCCAGGCACAGATCAGTGCAGAGAGAAGTCCAATCTGAGTTGGACTTCTCCCCAACTGACTGCAACCAAAAAAGTGTCAAAGATGTAAGAAGGATGCAATAAAAACACTGATTGAGCACTTTTGCAGAAAAAGATGAGTTAGTTCACTTTTAGTTCACCACAGCCCTGCATGATACAGCTCACCCATAGGAATAAATAGGTAGCATGTTTGCACCTGAAGAAGGCGCGGCAGCAGGACATTTTTGTTGAAAAAGTGTGAGGTACAAGACCACATAATAAAGATCGCTGGAATGGGGAAGAAGGTATTTAAGTGAACTTGTCCTTTAAAGTAGTATTAAGCACTCTGGTTTTTTTTAACCTTTAATATATTATTTTCCACCAATAAAACACTCCTCAATAAAACATTTTCTCTAAATATGTAAGAAAGCTCCATATTGCTCAGCTGTCCTTCCCCCGAACTTCCATGTATTGAGCATGTGAGCATGTCACTTGATCACCCTCCTTGTGAATATATATCCCATCCTATATCCCATATATATTGCCATGTCCCAAAAGGGTGGCTCTCTAGGATCCTGCAAGGCAATGGAGCCACCCTGAAACTGGAAACAAAGGAGAGGGAATTTTAAGAAGCGGAATACAAAGCAATGACAGGCTTGACAAGGAAGGTGCACATTAAACATGATAAGTGCTGAAGTTCGCAGCACTATTTGTTTTTTTACATAAGAGGGTATAATAACACTTTAGGAAAGCAAGCATAGAGCTCCACAAGCTTTTTTAATCTCTTGCTCCTTAAATAGTTAACCATTTATTGAATATCATCTCCTTGCAGCACATTGATTTCAGTGGTGACTACCAACAATTGGTTAAATCTGCAAGTAGCAAGAGATTACAATCCCCAATCTTGCCTTATAATAGACAAGATTTCTATATTTTTTTCAGTAACACTCTGATTAAGCTGAATAAGCCACTGATTTCCAAATTAGTTGATCTGTGTTAGTAATTAGGTATGTTAGAGCTTCACATCTTGCAATTCCCAAAAATAAAGAAAAAATAAAGACAGCATCGAAGGGAACATACCTGAATCTGAAATGTCATCCCAATATGGAGAATCAAATTCATAATCTGCCTTTAGTATCTGTTCAAAGAGTTTGGAGTCATTTTCATCATAGAAAGGTGGATATCCACAGAGGCTGAAAAGGGTATAAATATAAATTTAATACAGTAAAGGTACAAAAACCTTAAAGTGTAAATAAAGCTAAAAACAATTTTCTTAGTTTTAAATATTTTTGAAAGTGGTAAAACCCCCTCTCCATTTTTTTTATTGCTGTTTGTATCCTTGATGGAGACATTCATCCTCCCTGTTTTGAGGGAGATGAGGAGAAATATTCCTATGGGGACCCCAGTTCCAGTGAGAAGCATCTATGAGCAGATTTACCTTCATTATCAAGAGATTGTCTTTGATTGTTATGTCTCCCGGACAGGGAGTGAAAACGGAAAATTGTATACATACCTTTCGGTAATTTTCTTTTCATGACACCAATACATGCCAGCATACGAATGGGTTTAGCTCTGCCCCTCACCCAATCACAGCACCAGTTATACTCTAAATTAAAGCATGCCTCCCAAGGCCACCATTCTCTTAACATCTTAACAAGCACTAAATGCGAAAGCCAAAGGAGGGTCCCTTATGCTGCCATGTATTGGCGTCGGGAAAGGAAAATTACCGAAAGGTAAGTATGCAATCTTCTGTTTTCCTGACACCAACGTGGCAGCATACGAATGGGACATAGCAAGCAAAAACAAGGAAGGGCAAAAGTTGAGATATTTATCTAATTTACACAATTTTGAAACACATTCAGAACCAAACTTCACCATGGACAAGTTTACTTGATTGACCCTGTAATGGGGACATATGCCAGGTTACTGCTTTCCAGTTTAACTCTGGAGATACAGCACTAAATCTGTACATAAGGATGACATCCTTCAGTGAAGTGAACCCAGAGATTGATCTGTGGCTCCATCTGCCTGACCAGCCAGAATGCATGTGACCTGGGGGATGCAAAGAGCCCCTTTCTGATACCTCCAGAAAGATGAACAGATCGACCTGGAGCTCAAATGTACTTCCTCAGCATAGCAGCCACATTTAAGGCATGAGCTGAAACAAAACGTTATTCTTGGATATTGAGCATTGAGGACAGAAAAAAGAATGGTTATAGTATAACTGTTCCTGTGATTGGTTGAGAGTCGGAGCTAAACCTATTCGTATGCTGCCATGTTGGTGGCAGGAAAGTTAAATATCCTCTAGTTGAAAAAACCTGACGGCGGTCCTAACAAATTCCTTTTCTAGCCAAAGCTAAAAACAAAATATTTTGACTTAAGATAAACTCTAATAATATTTTTGTGTCGTAGCCTACAGCAGGAGATTATGCCATGCATGCTTTTTAGTATGGATTGGAGAATTTAACATTTTTTTTCTCGTTCTGCCTGTGGGCTGCATGAAAAAAAAACGAAACATGTACGGCCAGCTTTAGAATTTTGACTTTCAACATACAAAAACAGTAAATACCACCTGCTGTGGTTTTTTCACCCCATCTGATTAAACCCAGCAATTGCAACAACAATGCCCTGTACTCCCACAGTCAATGGTACCAATTTATCTAAAATGCTAAAAGCTGGTGCAAAGTAAAATGCTGGAAGATAGTGTTCCAGACTGGTCGGAGCAACAGAAAGAGGACAACAATCTGTACAAATAAGACTTTACTTATGAAACAGGAAACATTATAAATGATAAATAATTCTCCTAACACACTTTCTAACAAAGCACTATTTGACAGAAACTATAATAACCCAAACAAAGCAGTCTGGATGTAATTATTACTCATTACAAACTGGCAATAATGCAAGTCTGATAAGTGTATTCTTGGATTACAGTGTGTGTTAAATCTCCAGTAATGGTTTCTAAATATAACCTGTTTTTCCCTTTTGAAAAGCCCAGATGTCCATACAATATTGTACTTATCTGGGATTTATACCAGTATAATGGTTTCTGTTGAAACCCTATGACTTTAAACTGCAGTATACTAAGGCTTTAGCATATACTGTATATATGTGTGTAATATATATATATATATATATATATAATCTATATCATGCGTGGAAATGCAAAAATGCAGGTCTTGCAGAGCAAACTTTGTTTACAACTGTTTCCTTGATAGTGCACAACTTTTTTTGTGACAATGGTTCTGTACATTATTTGTACTGTCACATGGTTCAGACGTTATGGCAATGCCAGAGGCAATCAAGAGTTGCACATACCCATGGACAGAAAGATCTAACAGTGAGGTAAAATCAAACATTTGGAATCAAACCAGATTAGTGATTCTATACCCACTGTTTTACACCCAGTAATTATCATTCAGATATTGATCTATATCATAATGATAAATCACATTTGCACATAGATGGAGGTGGTCAGCAGGTCAGATGTAAAACAGATTAGTCAGTTCATTATCACCTAAGTTTTGGTATCGTACATTTTCATGCTTTTATTAAGGAACAAACTAAGACAACCACTAAAATACAAGATTGAAATACTAATACTGCCCAGGAAAAGGGCCATTTAATTTCCTTATTCTGTATGCTATATAAGCAGGAGGTTTCATCTGGGGTTTCCAGACGAAATGATGAAGTGTCCCCCTTAAAGCAGCAGGTGCCTGACAGGACCAGGATATACAGGTGAAACTCGAATAATTAGAATATCGTGCAAAAGTTCATTTATTTCACTAATGCAACTTAAAAGGTGAAACTAATATATGAGATAGACTCATTACATGCAAAGCAAGATAGTTCAAGCCGTGATTTGTCATAATTGTGATGATTATGGCTTACAGCTCATGAAAACCCCAAATCCACAATCTCAGAAAATTAGAATATTACATGCAATCAATAAAACAAGGATTGTACATAGAACAATATCGGACCTCTGAAAAGTATAAGCATGCATATGTACTCAGTACTTGGTTTGGGCCCCTTTTGCAGCAATTACTGCCTCAATGCGGTGTGGCATGGAAGCTATCAGCCTGTGGCACTGCTGAGGTGTTATGGAAGACCAGGATGCTTCAATAGCGGCCTTCAGCTCTTCTGCATTGTTCGGTCTCATGTCTCTCATCTTTCTCTTGGCAATGCCCCATAGATTCTCTATGGGGTTCAGGTCAGGCGAGTTTGCTGGCCAATCAAGCACAGTAATCCCACGGTCATTGAACCAGGTTTTGGTGCTTTTGGCAGTGTGGGCAGGTGCCAAGTCCTGCTGGAAAATGAAGTCAGCATCCCCATAGAGCTCGTCTGCGGAAGGAAGCATGAAGTGCTCCAAAATCTCCTGGTAGACGGCTGCGTTGACCCTGGACTTAATGAAGCACAGTGGACCAACACCAGCAGATGACATGGCTCCCCAAATCAACACAGACTGTGGAAACTTCACACTGGACTTCAAGCATCTTGCAGTGTGTGCCTCTCCATTCTTCCTCCATACTCTGGGTCCTTGGTTTCCAAATGAGATGCAAAATTTGCTCTCATCAGAAAAGAGGACTTTGGACCACTGAGCAACAGACCAGGTCTGTTTTTCTTTAGCCCAGGTAAGACGCTTCTGACGTTGTTTGTTGTTTAGGAGTGGCTTGAAAAGAGGAATACGACATTTGAAGCCCATGTCCAGGATCCGTCTGTGTGTGTTGGCTCTTGATGCACTGATTCCAGCCTCAGTCCACTCCTTGTGAAAGTCCCCAACACTTTTGAATGGCCTTTTCCTGACAATCCTCTCCAGGCTGCGGTCATCCCTGCTGCTTGTGCACCTTTTTCTTCCACACTTTTCCCTTCCACATAACTTTCTATTAATGTGCTTTGATACAGCACTTTGGGAACATCCAACTTCTTTTGCAATTACCTTTTGAGGCTTTCCCTCCTTATGGAGGGTGTCAATGATGGTTTTCTGCACAACTGTCAGGTCAGCAGTCTTTCCCATGATTGTGATTCCTACTGAACCAGACTGAGAGACCATTTAAAGGCTCAGGAACCCTTTGCAGGTGTTATGGCTTAATTAGCTGATTAGAGTGGGACACTTTGAGCCTAGAATATTGCACCTTTTCACAATATTCTAATTTTCTGAGATTGTGGATTTTGGGCTTTCATGAGCTGTAAGCCATAACCATCACAATTATGACAAATCACGGCTTGAACTATCTTGCTTTGCATGTAATGAGTCTATCTCATATATTAGTTTCACCTTTTAAGTTGCATTAGTGAAATAAATGAACTTTTGCACAATATTCTAATTATTCGAGTTTCACCTGTAGTAGAGGATTGCTTCATTAACGGGGATAAACAGCCTCTCTACCTTCTGTGAACAAAGGAAACCACGTGGGCAGGGTCAAGAATACCCTGCTCCCATTTCAGGTATAGTGGAGTTGTTGATTGTGTTCCCAGAATCCTTGGTTGTGGAAAAGATGATTATCACCCCAGTGAAATGTCTGTAAGACTGAAGGAAAAACAAAAGCCCTGAACATGCTGGCTTGTTCACCTGCATGGATTTTATGACTTCAAGGAAATATGCAAAAAAGTAAGGGAGACTAAAAGTAACATTTTTATTTCTCTTCCATATCCCATTTAAAAGACATGGTGGAATTTTATCAAAACTGGAGCAGACAGGAACTGGAGCATTTGCCAATAGCAACCAATCATCTATTCTCTTCAGTTTGTTCATTTAAGATTTGAAAATGGAAGAGAGAAGCTGATTGGTTGCCATGCACAGCTGCTCCAGATTTTGTGTGCTCCAGTTTTGATAAATCCCCCTCAATGCATAGTGGTTTTGTAAATATTTTCTTTATTAAGGTTAGGATTAAAATAATTAAATAATGTTTTCCTTGTTTCAGTTAGGTAAATACCCAAACTACATAGTCTTCTAGCCAACCAGCTTGTAGAGCTCATTTTTCACATATTTTCCTCTATCTCCTTACTACCTGTTGCAGATTGCATGTTTACAGAGCTCAATAGATCCTTCTGAAATTTACAAACATACACAAGTGAATAAGTCAGCACAAGATTATTCAATAGCTCTGCCCATTTATTAAATGTTTATTTTAAAACAAAGGGTGTACACATATAGTAAAGAATGTATAAACATAAAAAAGATATTAAAATAAAACTGACCCAAAACCATTATAGCTTCTCTTATAAACAGCTCTCTAAATCCGGTAATGCCCCTCTTGTTTAAAAGACATGAATTGCAGGAAAGCATGCGCTCTTTGGTCATGTATAAGGTAAACACTTCGTTAAATAAATTAAAATGATGCATAGTACAAAGAATGTTATAATAGTTTTAAACCAAGCTTACATTGCAGGGTAGAAGCATCCAAAAATAAAAATCTGGGTAAACTGGTGTTGTACAAAAATAAATCAACCTAGCTAAAACTTTATCCTGATAACCTTCTACTGTCTGACAATAGAGAAGATGTAAGTAGCTGCCATGCATAACAGACTAAATATGCCATAAAGCAGATGTGCTGCTGAAAAGAGGAAAGAAAGTGTTTTCCACAGACAGTGGAAACATTGATTGGACTCCCTCATGTAAGCCCTGAGTTAGAGACCCATCTGGGCCAACTTACTTGAAACATGTATCTTCTCTCACTGTTGTCCATGGTCCCGCTGGGGCGCATCACTGTATCTAACTTTCCTGGTGACCATTGATCATAGAACAGAAAGTGAGAGGAAATCCAAAATATTAAATTCCACATGAATGGAAGGTGAAGGGAAATCTTCAAAGTGGCAACTGTGGCATTAACAACTAAGAGGAATTTACCCTAATTATTTCCCATTTCTTGTTATGTTTCCAGGACAGAAAATGAAGGGAATGAATCCCTACTGTATCCAAAAACTACCAAAGAAAATGTTATTTTGGATATACTTAAAAAATGTTTTGTAATGTAAAGCTATTCTGCTTCCAAGCATAACACTAAACACTTGCGAAAGGTGACAGAAAGAATGAAAAGTCATGTGCTAGCACAGCCAGTAAATCTGTGTTTTTCACTTGCATATGAAAATGTGATTTCACGTGAATATTACTATACTTACAGAATATATGCAATGACCCCGATAGACCAGCAGTCTACTGCTTTGCTGTAGGGCTTCTGTGCAAGCACTTCTGGAGCTGTAAATGAATATATCATTATAAGGCAATCAGTATGACATACAATAAACATTAGGAATTAATCATCAAAATATAGCTAATAAATGCCATTTAATTTACATAAAGCACACCGGTGGAGTGGTTACTGCGCCTGCCTTGCAGCATTTGGGGTCCCTGGTTCGAATCCTGGCCAGGTCACAATCTGCAAGGCATTAGCATGTTCTCCATGTGCTCGTGTGGGTTTCCACCGGGTGCTCTGGCTTCCTCCCACACTCCAAAGGCATGCTGAAAGGTTAATTGGTTCCTGTCTAAATTGGCCATCGTATATATGTATGTGAGATAGGGACCTTAGATTGTAAGCTCCTTGAGGGCAGGGACTGATGTGAATGTGGAACTATGTAAAGTGCTGTGTACATTGTCGGCACTATATAAATGCCTGTAATAAATAAAAACACTGGAAAAGATCCAAATACATAATATGCTGATCTGCCAAACTAGTGTATTACTGTTCTGCTGCATCTAATTAGTGCCAAAAACTGTAGGCTGGTATGCAGTAAAAGAATAACCAATAGAGAAATAAAAGCATGAAAGCTTTACATGAATTATCCCTTACTGGAAACCATGTGGTGCTAATCCATAAAGCACATGAAAAGTAGAATAAGTCAATGCAAAGTGAGAAGTACACATAATCTAAATTGTCCAAGAGAACTGTCAAGAAATCAGACAGATTCTCCCCTTCATGTTCTAAATTGCCCTAACAATGTGAAACAGAAATGCTAACTGGCTGCTAGAGAAAGCACAGGCAATTCTTTCTACAATACTTTTAATAGTGAGACCACAGGCCTGTTACTCTTTTTTCTCAAAGAGATATGGGCGAGGGGTAAATGTCATTATGCAGCATTTCTTGTCAGAGTTTACTAAACAAATAAGATTTCTGTTCTCACTGTAAATGTTTTTTATATTCTTCTCCAATGAGGTACACAGGGATTTTGGGAATTATGAAACAGTTTGGTTATACAGCTGCCTACAAGATATTGGGACACTGGCAAACAAAACACATTAAGCTAACCCCAAATAACCCCACCTCCAAACGTAATTCTTCAGTTTTGTGAGCAAGCAGTACAAGAGTCCAAAAAATATCACAGAGGGATGGGACCTGTCCCTCAATGGAGTTTAAGAAAATAATTTTACAGTACTTATAGTACAGTTAGGAATCCTGAAACAGAATAATTGGCAATAGCCCCTAAGACAGGGGTGCCCACAATTTTTGTTTTAAGATCTACTTTTCAAATGACGAGCTACATGAGATCTACCGAAGAAAAAAAACCTCCCTCACGCTCCTTCTCTCTCCTGGCTTTCTCTCCTCACTCTCTCTCCTTGCTCATCCTCCTGGCTGTCTCTCCTCTCTCTCCTGGCTGTCATTCCTCGTTTTCTCTCCTGGCTGTCTATCTTCTTTCTCTTGGCTGTCTCTCCTTGCTCTCTCCCCTGGCTGTCTCGCCTCTCTTTCCTGGCTGTCTCTCCTTGCTCTCTCCCCGCTATCTCTTCTGGCACACCTTGCTTTATTCTTTGATGTAATACATAGCATTTCAACCACCAGTATCCACCAGAAAGGTGTCAGGGAGCTCGGCTCAGCAGACTCAGGCTAATAGGTAATCATGTGTGCACAGCTAAATAAATATACCAAAATGGAAAAAAAGGGACCGCCATACACACCCTTCGTGATCTACCAGCATCAGCTTTGAGAGCTACTGGTAGATCACGATCTACCTAATGGGCACCCCTGCCCTAAGAGATCCAACAGATGTGGAGATCATACTACAAAGAGTATCTGAATGAATTAAGGCCTGAACGAACGCTAGATGAAGTAGGACCAACCGAATATGGAAATTGCCAAAGCCAAGAGGAGGGCACCAAGGATCAGCCTGGTGCTCCAGACCAGATACTCACCGATAAAGAAAAAAAACTGCTACCTGAAGGAGCTATGGGCCTCAATCAGTTCAACCAACGATCCACCTAAAAACCTAAAAACAGGTGTAGCAGCACGCTACCTGAACAGGAAAGAACTAGACCAACAAGTAACCTGGATAACTAAAAAATAACAGTTTACTGGGCTAAGTCCCAGAGGAAAAACAGATCCCCCAGGGGAAATTTGAACAGACATACAATGTTCAATGGCAAAAAAACATTCAGACAACTGCAGAAAAGGCTCAAGTCTAGTACACATAACGCATGACCTCAAGGAAAGGAACCTAGGACAGACAGAACATGTCCAGGAGAAAGACCAGTCAACAGCCAGAGGCTTAAGTGGAACACTCTTAACCCTTGAGAGGAAGATCCATGATAATAAAGAATGTTACCTGACAGACAGCTAATCTTTTAAAGAGATATTCATGGATATAAGAGTCCTCACAGCATAAAATCTAAATGGAGAGAAGGGAAAAAACTCTTAAGTTGGGAAAACTTAAAAGGTACTAACCCTGAATGCTTCTTTAGGAACGGGTGAGGTAATCAGCAACTTGTATATAAGGGTATGTAGTGTAACACAAGCTAACGTAGAAAAAAAATACCAGGACAGATAACAAGATAGAGGAGAAGTCCTTCAAACCAACACCAATAGATAGATTAATGGTGCCGGGAGCCACACGGCAAACCTGACTACAGACTAACTAGTTATTAAATATATGATGGGGGGGGGGCATATTGCAACACTGTGTGTTGTGGTGCAAAGAAAAACAAAACACATGCACAACTTATCACCATAACGCATGGTATTGTGCTATCACACATTGCAGTGCTAATCAGCTAAGAGGTGCATTGGGGTGCCATTCAAATAAATGGAAATGCAAAGCACCTAGCACATGGTAATGCATAACGCAAGGTGCGTTGTGTAATAGTGTGCATTAATCATACACTATCATGTGATTAACCCTAAAGGCTGCGGCCAAGGCTACCATGTACAGTAGATTGCTTTTATTGCTCCTGTGCTACTGCACAGCATTTAAAGTCCCTAGTCCCTCCTTTTTGGACAGTGAATTTGATAGGAAAATTTTATGTTAACAAAATGTATGATTTTTATTTTTTCATTAATACATGCTCCAGCAAATCTAAGAGTAAAATTGCACTAGTGTCTCAAAAGACAAAATAGTTATGACTACTGAAACAGTAAGTTTTTTTAAATGTAGCTAAAGTCAAATTGATGCTGCTGTAATATTTTGCAGAAAAATGACATGCGGACTATCACCAAACATCCATAGGATGCTGTTTACATAAAGTCACTGTAGCAGAAGTGTCTGACTGTCCTTGTCACTGAGACATACCCTATGCTTTAACTAAGTCAGAAGTGGCTTTATGAGATGCATGAAAATATCTTTCCAGTAACATGAATAAATGTGACCCACTTCCAGGGATCACATCAGATAAGATAAAGACGCTGCAGGATGAAAGTGCCTAGGAGCAGCTGCGCTGACACAGAGATGACGGCTTTCTCCTGATTCCTGGAATCAAGTCCCTCTGCTCACAGGACACTGGCAGGCTCAGCCAAGAATCAGTATTCCCGGCGTCAGCCTTGTCAGTGCTGCTGCTTGGGCTTATTACATTAGCAAGGCTCTTTGGTTAAATATTCATGTAATTATCAGATGGAACTTGTTTTTGGCAAGAGAACACCAGAAAAACAAGTAAAATTATTTGGTATGTCAGAACACAGGTTCTTCTAAAGCGTAGCACCAATAACAACTTATCTGCAGGCATTTTCCTTTGAACTGGCAGGAAGGTGAAAACTGGCCACTTGGTATGTGTTACTGCACGTGTGGTTTTGTTTGAGTGTAAAAAATACGGCCTAGAAAATGTCAACAAAGATTTTAGGACACATCTCCCACGTTCACCTCTTTTCCTCCTGCTGCCACTAACCCCATGCTTTGCTTTGAATGACACAGTAGGAGTGGATGACAGAATGTAGCAAGTGTCATTAAGTAAATACAATAAATCAATGCATTGTTTCATTGTATTTACAATTTTATTTATATGTAGAACAAAGGTGTTATCTGCATTTGACATCAGTTAAAGTAAGATTACAAGTAAAAAAAACAAAAACATACGGTATTTTTTTTAACCATTTTTAGCTTTTAAAGTAGTTTTACTGTAAATAAAAAGTATACATTTTATTCTGGAATTTGTCTCCTTTAAAATGACATTAAAATGATGGGGTCTATTCAGGAAACTGCCAAAGTATCTAGCTGTAGCTTTGGCTGATGCTTCGGCTAGCTTCGGCCCCAGGACCCCTTTGGTTGAGTAGAACCGAAGGGCTGCTGTAAGGGCTACTCACTATAGCCCTACAGCTCCCGTAGTCGGCCGAGCAGCTCAGTCGATCCGAAGGCATATGCTTCGTCTCGACTGAGCCGAGGTGAAAGCCGTAGCTGGCCGAACGCCCGGCCGACAGCCTGCTACTGACTGCTGGGCTGAGCCAGCCATCATCTCACGGCTGGCTCCGACCACTTGCACAGACAGATCAGTGTCCCTGGTTACCTGGTTACACTGATCTGCAGACAGCCCAACTCTCCCGGATACTCCGGGAGTCTCTCACTATTAGATAGAGGCTCCCGGCCACCCAGGAGAGAAACACTTTCTCCCAGAAAGGTTTACTCTGCTCGATTGAGTAAACCTTTCCCTGCTCTGTTTTTTTTGTTTTTTCCTGACATCGGAGCCTTTGGCTGCCGTCAGAATAAAAAAAAAAATCACCATAGGAATGCATAGCTAGATTCCTATTGACCATTTCAATTTGCAATAGCCAATAGCAAGTTGGCTATTGCACCCGCCCACTGCTGCTGCCAATCAGCAGAGGGGACCTGAAGTTCTCCATCAGGTCCCCTCTAGTGATTGACAGCAGCAGAGGGCGGGTGCAATAGCTAGTTTACTATTGGCTATTGCAAAGTGAAATAGCCAAAAAGAATCTAGCCATGCATTCCTATGGTGATTTTTTTTTATTCTGACGGCAGCAGAACCGCCCGGCCAATAGAAAACAGTTG